CAGCCGCGGAATTAATGATATTTCATGTTGTCGCATCTGTAGCTCCACAAGGCGATCTAGGTCGGCCAGTAAAATAGCTTTTGCCAAAAGCGTTAACTCATTTCATTCTAGAGATGTTCATAAATATTCGTTTTAAGTAATTTGATTATAAAAGAAAAAGAAGAAAAGGAATATCATTCGAACGATAATAAAACCGATATTATATAAAGACATTCAATACCATACTTCAAACAAACTCGTGATTATTCGATTAAAAATATATAAAATATTGTGTAGATACAGATGGAGAGACAGAGAGAGAGAGAGAGAGAGAGAGAGAGAGAGAGAAAGAGAGAGAAAGAAAACAAAGTTTACGGATATAACGTATACTCATTTCTTTTTTTGTTTGCTTTTTTTTTATCATTTCTGAATATAACCAGATGTTATTGAAAAAGAAGAAAAAATGAAAAAAAAGAAAACTAAGAAAGTATTCGCTTATCAAATGGCGATCATTAATTAAGATTTTAACATACAAATTCATCGGTACGTGTTTGAATCCTATGAAAATTAACTTATTATCCCCCGATAATAATTAAATCGCAATAACATAAAAGTAACGATCTAATCTGTGAATAAGCAAAAGTTGACAGACATGATAGCGCGTATATTAGCCCGGATTGTCAGTGTGATCGGTCGTTGAGGAAAACTAGAGAAAGCCTAGGCTGAGGATCGTGTTTGAACGTGTAATATCAAAAGCGCCCGCAGCGATTTGATTTCCATTGTTTCATCAGCATTGAATATCTAGACAGACCTTTGATCCAGAACAATTTTCTCTCCAAGTCGTCGACGACGGGACTGTATGACTACGAGACGACGAAGACAACACGACTTTAGTCCTCATTAAAATCTTCTAATTCCATCGAAGCTCGGTTACGTCTATTTACACTTTTAATCGTCTATTTCGTAACCACATACATTTAATAACCTCAACACTCTTTCTTAATCCCTCTCCGATTACAATTTTATCCTCGAATATACCTTCAACTACTTACCCAGGGTATATTTAATCGTTGCCTCTTCCTCCCTCTTTCTCTCTCTCTCTCTCTCTCTCTCTCTTTCTATCCCTCTCTAAAAACAATGTCGTGCTTATACGATTACATATCCCCTGCAGTCTCGTACGAGATGAAAGAGAAGGGAAAGTAAATTAGATGAAAAAAATCGATTTGTCGACTCGAATAGTCGCTCGCGATATACCATTATCCTGAAGCAATCTCTCTCTCTCTTTCTCTCTCTGTCTCCCCTTTTTTCTCTCTCTCACTCCCCTCTCTCTCTCTATCTCTCACTCTCTTTCTCTCTCTGTCTCCCCTTTTTTCTCTCTCTCACTCCCCTCTCTTTCTCCCTCTCTCTCTCTATCTCTCTCTCTCTCTCTACCATCTATGTTTATAATCCTCTTTGTTTTTTCTCCTTTCTCTTTTCTCATCCTTTGTTGAGATGCACGATCGCAACAACACGAGAGCACAAGTTACGTTGCGCTTCTCACACTATGAATAGCGATGATGGTTGATTTTTACGATGGATACATCCCTCTTTTTCTCAGCGGCAGAATCCTAGACCCACTGGTCGCGATGAAAAAAAGGGCGGTGACGCAAACTCGAATACGTACTTTGTTCTTTGCAAAATACCTTTCACGTAAATTGATGATAGAGAGCAATTTCTTTGTTATGGATACTGGAAAGCTCGTGAGAGAGAATATGAGCGATATAAAGCACTTCGTGAATATAAAAGCTTATAACAATATATTTGACGGATTGAGATATAATTGTTGAGTGGTATTAGTTTCTCATATTAATCGTACTATTTCTAAGTTAAGAAGGATGATCAGTGTTCCTGGTAAAGCTCTTACTGAACTGTTTGAAATCGAAAATTTATTCGTTCGAGTGTATGATAACTTCTTATGACTTCTCTCGAATTCAATAAATGAAGATAATAATGAAATTGGAAAAGAAAAAGGGAAAGGAAAAGAGAGATGCTAATAGGTCGTAAATCTTTCAGAAGAATTCTTATGAAATATTTAAATAATTTCACGTCCTTGTTCTTGTTATCGTATTGGCTCATAAAAAATTGTTATCTTAAACGTACACTCCATACGAACGTTCTTGGCATGTTTTTCTTTTTTCTTCTTCTAAATTGTCTACTTTCTATATTTATTTCTTTCATCCGATCTAATACATTTTCAAAGACCACGTGATTATTCAAGAAAATAACTAAACTCTAACAATGCTGGCAATATATTTTTTATTCAGATAAATTTTCTAAGCAAGAGTGTTCAATAAATTTCCAAGGATAAACATTTTGCTATAACGATATATTACACTTAAGAGAAAGTCCTGTGAATCGCTAAGGGTGCACACATATGGATCAACATCCTTCATTGATCTATAGAATATCCTTCGCTCTATTCCTCTGTTATTATTTACCATGAATACGTAATCGAATCTAGCGAGAAATTTCCGTTTTGCTTTGAAAGGGAGACAGATGAAAGAAAAGCATAAAAAAAAAAAAAATAGAAAAAGAAGGAAAAAAAAAGGAAATTAAAAACCAAAAGAGATAGAATGAGACTGAGAGTAAGGTAATTCGAATGGAATGCATTCAGCTCTCGTTACAGAGCTCGGTGAAACTCAATTCATTGGTCTGTTTATTCGCGAACAAACGCCTAGACGTGCACCCAGTGCGATAAACTTTTCAAGCGCCAATCGAATTCAAGACGAGACGCACGCAAGCGAAGCAACGAACTTCGAGATGGTCTGGGTCGATTGTGAACGAGTTAAAGGGGTGGTAAAGCGTGATAGAAGGACGTGCAGCCGTCGCCTCGTCGCCGGTACACGGAGAAATTTCTGCGTTGAATCGATGCACCGACTGCGTCAAGGCTTCCACCTTCCACCCTCACTACCATTCATCCCTTTCCAATTCCTACCATGCATCGGTTGTGTGCACGTTTTATTCTACGTACATCGTCAAATGCATTAGAGTCGATCCTTCTCTTTCTTTCTGTTTTTTTTTCTTTTTGTCTTTCTCTCTCTCTCTCTCTCTCTCTCACTCTCTCTTTCTCTCACTCTCTCTTTCTCTCTTACACACACACAATCTTTTCTACTCGCACGCGATTTTCTATCGCCCAGAGACGCGTCAAACGTTCCGGAGATTTATCGAACCAGACGGTTATGTTAAATCGGCGAGGCAACGTGCCGTGACGAGAAACGCGACGTATGTCAATTACCTATGTATCTATCTATCTATGTATCTATCTATCCTATGCTATCAGAATCCAATTCGATCAGATACGACCGTTGATTCGTAAAGAAATTTTTATGAATTTAAGTGATTTCATTAAGATTTACATACATGATTAATTTACTTACAAAATTTAGATAGACTTTCATTCATTGAAATTTATATAATATATACGAGTATGTACATACCATCGACTCCGTTTAGTCAGTATCATTGTATTCCTCTGAAATTCTCATTTCATCGTCCTTGTGGACGATGTGTGGAAAATGTGTGGAGAAACGGAAGTTGAAACATTTCGGATCCAACCAAATTGTGCACACGCGAAATGTGTACAGACATACATAGATTCACATACACACACATACATACGCGCATACATATGTATGTATACATGTTACACGCTTGAGGTTCGCGACATGTCCGAATCATCGTCACTGATGTAACTACATATCCCTGCGATCTTTGTTAATGGTTCACTTGTTTTTAGATTAGTTACGAATACACATAGTTTATGGTCCTATAAAAACGTATTACTAATTTATTAATGATGATAATGAGGTGAAAAAAGTAAAAAAGGAAAAAGAAAAAAAAAAATAAAAAAGAAAAAGAAGCTTTCCAGTAAGAGTGCGCTTAAAAGATTGATGTACTTTATCGTTCCTTCATAGCCTTTTAAAAACGAGGTAAAAGACATGTACCGCAGTTACGTATCTATGGATTATTTAAATGAGGTCAGAAAGCATGAGAGAGGGAGATATCCCACCAAAGCGAACCTATTGGGTGAGTCTCATCGAATAGTAATTCGGCGTCGAAGGCAAACATCCTAAATCACCTGGTCGATGCCACGGGAAACGTTAGGTTCCTCAAAAATGTATACTACCTCCATTTGTTGTATATATATATATATACACATATACAATATATATACATACACATATAGTATATTTGTCATACTATATATATATATACACAAATGTGTATCTATACGTATATATGTATAGGACTAGCTCTGCTCGTGATAGAGTCACATTTTCTTAGCATCACGAGAAATCGTTTCCACGATAAGGATTCCGTCTTTCCAACGAAAAGATTTATAAAAAGTACTGAATTTTTTCCTTCGAAACTCTGAATCGCATTACTTTTTACTCAAATTTTTTGGCCAATTTTATTACTAGAGAATTATTCGTAGAATTATAAGGAAAATAAAGCTTAAGGAATAATATGATTAACGAACGAACGTTCGATATTTGTTCGTTCGAAAAATTTCATTACTTTTTTTAAGATCATTCTTTACCTTCATTTCAGTTTTCATTGAAACCATCACGTCATTCGTATTCTTATTTTTTCGATGCAATGAATCGAACGAGATCCCTCCCTCTTCTCACTTCTTTTTCCGATCGCTGTATTTCACAAGTCTCGTCTTATGTAACACTCGAACGAATATGCACGTTTCCGTTACAAATCGTCATACTTTTTCTTCTGCCAGAGTATTTTTACCCAAGAACCGTTGGCACTATAGAAAAAAGAGAGACGGAGGAAGAAAAGGTAAAAATTTCAGGCGATACATCTACCTCGAATATATCGTTTCCGATACAATATTTCGCGACATCATGCACTCGATTATTAAAATCGTATTTTATTAAAATCAACTTT